ACAATAACTTCCGGAACAAAAATTATCGACCAGAAAAAGTTGGAATTGTGACTTTTAAAAACTGTTCACTTATTCAGTATGAGAATGGTTGTAGTTATTTTTGTCCCCCTGTGTGTGATATTTTCTGAACAGCTCACTGTTCAAAATAAGTCGTCTCATCTCGTCTTGAAGGTTAAATTAAAATGAAATCAGAAACCGGAGCAGCTGATCCGATCCGCTCTCCTCACACTCACTGGCTCGACACCACCACCGTGTGGCGGAGCCGCTACTTACAGCTCTGCTGTCTCGATGTACTTGGCCGTGCCCTCGATGGTGTTGCAGTACTCCGTGGCGAACTTGGTGATGAGCTGCAGCAAGGTGGCGCTCTGGTCTTCCACAGGCTCGCCGTAGCTGCTGAGCAGGGACTGGTACTGGGCCGCCAGGACGTTGATCCGTGTCTTCAGCTCCGGGAGGCAGTCTCGGATGTGATGCATCAGTAGCCTGACATTAGCAGAGGAAAGGGCAGAGAGCGCCTGGCCTTAAATGACAAGACAGTAGCAATTCCCAGACGGCTCTGGGAAGAAGGAGCGATGCAGCGTTACCTCGTGTTCTCTGATGAATATGGCAGCTTAAGCACAAACACAAAATGTGAGAGCTGACTCAGAGCCGCCTGCAGCAACATCAGCTGCTTCAGAGCCGGAAACGTCGTAGGAGGTGCAGATAATGAGTCAATATTTTGTATATCAGAAATAAAAATAATTTTCAAAAAAATTGCATTGTTTTGTAATTGATGTTTAGCTTGGAAAAAAAATACTTAATTTGTGTATGCATATATTTTGTTTCACCTTGGTCTATGCAACATTCAGAGACACATAGGAGTCGTTACAAAGTCAGACTTCCATCAGTAGATTAAACAACTAATGTCTCTTACACTCAAATAAATAAAAAAAACATTTTAAAATAGCAAAAATTTCTGCAGTTTAAGCTCTTTTTTCAATGTTTTTGGTTTGATGAAATATGTGTTTATCTATTTGAAGAATAGCAGTAAAGGCACAGTGGAAAAAAGGCATGAAGCACGGCAGTGGGAGCAGCTTGATTCTGCTCTTTATGCTGCTAATAACTTTTAAAAACGGACTTTTATCGTTTTTGTTCACTGCATTATTGCTGATCCATTTCTCCCAGAGGTGAGCTCACCTGTTTAGGGTCCGGGCCAGGTATTTGGTTCCGTTCCTGTTGGCCAGCGACGGGTATTTCTTCTGCAGGAAGGCATACTCGTCGCGGATGGCGTCGGCCACTGACTTCTTATTGTTGATGTCCAGCTGACTCCTGAGGGTCCAAGACCGGAAAGATTTACAGAAAGAAATCATTGTACGACAATGACGTCTGCCTGAGTTCACTGAAGCTAAGCTAAGAGCAGAGGAATGATAACATTGTATCTGGAAGGACAACAATCTATCCACGATCTGCAAAACTAGGAAGATTGTCTGTAACGCAGATTCTACACAATTAAGGGTTATGGTTTCACATCAGTTTTCTTTCTTTTCCTTCAGTCTCACAACTTAGCTTCTTCTTATGAACTCTGGATTTTACGAGAAAAAAGAAAATGAAAAGATTGTTTTATTTTTGCCTATTGGGCATTATGGCCACTTTGCTGCTCACACCTGTTCACAACTCCAATGATCCCCAGCTTAACAGGAATGACTCTGCCCATCAGGACGTCCATAGCGTCCGTACCGGCGTCCATCAGGTCCAACTTGGTCACCACGGCCAGCGTCCTCCTGCCTGTTGATTCACATCCATTCAAAACGGAAGCTCAGCGAGGATTGCCGCCATTTAAAGGTCACGCTTTGCTTTCATACCGTCTGGATCCACCTCCCGGGCCACCTTGAGGGCTTCCGAGGTGGCCATGTCCGTGTTGGCCGCCGTGACCGCCAGGATGATGCAGTTGGGGTTGGAGATGTGCTTGAGGATCAGATCTCTTATCTGGATCTCGATGTCTTTGGGCTGATCGCCCACAGGCACCTGGAGAGGGGCGGATCCAGAAGGGAGAGGAGCCGGTGTCAGCTTCCTTCACAGAGCGATCGAGAGGCTGGTACTGCGGGAGCTGGAAACGGGACGGGTTACCTTGGTGATTCCCGGCAGGTCCACCAGTGTGAGGTTGACGACGTGAGGGGAGAAGATCTTCAGGTGAATGGGATCATCACTGATTCCCTGCAGAGGAACAGAATCACAGAATCAGAAGCGGCAAGATGAGTTTAGATCCTCCTGCCGGCTGCGATCAGATGAGGAGTAAATTGCCATTCGTCTGCCAGGCGGCAGATACCTCTCTCTAGAGGGTCTTTGTTTTTCTCTCCAGCAGTATATTCACAACTTAATCATTTGAAGCCACACTTGAAAAATGGATTTCCAAAAGACAGCCAGCTAAATAACTAAATAAACGTCAGAATCAACTTTAGACACAAAACTCCAGACAGCGACTCAAGAAATGGGAAATTCAGATGGAGACTTTTACTTCTTTTAATCAGTTAATTTAATCATTACTGACAAATGATATTTTTACAGCCGCTTCATTTGCAAGTAACAATCCAGTGACTTTTACTCAATAGAACGGCTTTTAGTTATGAGACCAACGTCTACTGTAACTAATGTTTAGTCAGCAAAGGTGGAAAATATGTTAAAAAATAGATAGAATTAAGAATTTTAAATTGTATAATTTAAAATAAAAAAAAAACATTTTTGGTCTATGAGTCTATTTAAATTGATGATTTTTGTATATGTGATCAAAAAAATAAAAAATTTAACACCATAGATTATTTAGTAAAAGAAAAATAAAATAATGAATGGCCTTTAAAGTACTGTGGGAAATGTAAACAGAAATAATATTTAAAGAACCGTGGGAACATGAATAATAAATATTCATGTTTATTATGAATAATAAACATGAATATAGCAGTAAAGACTATATTATACGGCTTGTCCAGCTAACTGTTTGTTTGCTAAAAGGTGCCGTTATTTCAGTCTTTCCTACCTTTGCATTTTTTTTCTACTATGTTCCCGACCCTTGCCGCTTATGAAATACTGCCATCTTATTTATTATTATTATTAATATTATTATTATTAGCACAGTCCTAGCTTACTACGTCGATGCCCTATTTTCTTGGAGCTTGGAGGAACTTTAACTCGGTTTCAAAATGTAAGAGCTGGCAATCAGAAATCAGCGTCTCTGGTGTAAATCCAGTTAAGTCGAAGGTCTGCATCCACAACGTAGGAAGGGTCACAAGTTAAACCTTTGCAGAGGTTGGATTGACTTTACAGGAGTTATAACGTCTACCTGTTAAGAAATACGCACCATTACAGTTTTAATCCTGAAATTTAAAGCATCTCTTAATTTCCCCTGACTCACAAAAAAAAAAACAATGACTAAACAACTGATTCAAAAATCAATCATTTTGTTGAATGAGGCTCTGTGGTAGAATAGTACACGATTTATCAAACCCAAACAAAAGGCTAAAGCGACATTTTGCTTTTCATTTGTTTTTCTAATGGCAGTAACTTTTTGGCCACCAGGAAACAGACAAACGCACCACCTCGGTCGTAGCTCTCCGTCTCACCTTATTGTTCCCAGACACTCGCTCTGTTTCGTTTTCAATTTCCTGTCGGATTTCATCAAAATCTGAGTATATCTGCAAAAACGAAAAGGGAAAAAATAAATAAATAACAAAAAGGGAGGAAAGCGTCACGACAAGTCATGACCAAGATGGCCACACTATGGAGGATCATGTGGAGGAATACCTTATTTTTAGTGTGTAGAAACTTCCCCCACTCCTCCACATCTGAGACACAATGAGAAATTGAGTCACAGACATATATTAGAAAAAACAAAAAACAACAACAAAAGCAGAAAAAACTTAACTGCTGGGTACAAGAGATGAATCAAACCCAACTAATGCAAGGATCAACATCTGACCAGGTGGTTTATTTAAGCAGCTATGAATATGGGAGAGGATACAAGACGCTAAACTCAGCTATTAAAACTTCAGAAAACCTGGAACGCTGCAACTCTGAGGCGCTGCTTTGCATCTGCATGTGGTTCGGAAAAGAGTGAGAGAGTCAGAAAAACTGATTGCTTTAATCCAATCATGTGGGGAAACCATCTAATTCTACAGGATCAGGATTCCACACTTATTGTATATCCTCATTGTATTTGTTGGATTTACAATGAGGCAGCAAAGTGCATCCTGACATACAAAACTCCATAAAACTCAAAAACCTGTGTTTGTTTATGTTCGTTACTGCATTCAGTATTTTCTCTACTGACTGGACACCACGTGTCTTGCAGGCGCTCACCTCCCTCCTCGTTTTTCCGGCCGTCTGCAGGATCAACGTGGACCAGCTGCAGGATGAGGGGCCGCCTGGTCACAATGCCGGTCCCCCGGGGCAGCAGGTCCCGGCCCACCAGGCTCTCCAGCACCGAGCTCTTCCCACTGCTCTGGAGACACGAGCACATCAGAAACACATTCAGCCAGCTGGGATGTTTGCAAGACTGTGGGCTGACAACATTTAGCAGTGTGCAGATTTTATCATGCGCATCAGCTCCAATAAATCATAAAAAAAATAAACGGTTTTGTCAAATCTCACTTCTTTCAAGGATGTGATGAAACCAAACACTGTGATACTGGTTCATTCGTGCGCGTTTGAAGCAAGGTGACAGGGCTACGACTAGACAGCTGCTATCACCAAAAGCTCACAGGCACAGCTGTTTTTACCTGAGTCCCCACCACTGCAATCTGCGGCAGCTGGATAATATCGGCCCCCACGGTGTTGAACACGTCCTGCAGCTTGTTTATCACGGGGATAAGAGCCTCCATGTTTGCTGGTTGATAGGTTTTAAAGAGACTCTATGTCGAGATGGAGCCAAAGTCATTCAATGTCTCCCCGGAAACACCATTGCGACAACAGATACCGCGTGGAGGTCTGGGAGTTGCAGTTTCTTCCACCGAGAACGGCTGAAAGGACTACAAGCGCCGAAGCTCGTCACGCGCATGCGCTCTGGTGGACGGCTAGCTTCGTTAGCTAGCTGGTTTGGATCATTTAACTTTGGAAGCGCCGACCTGCTTTGGACTACAACGTTTATGTAACAGGAGCAGGACTTTAATACGCTTATTTGCGTCATCATGTTGCAGTTTCTGGTGAGTTATACTTCCACGTCGACGCCTGACGCCCATAGTTTTGCCAAGTCCGTAGTAGCTTAAATGGTAACTGTTAGCGCTACATGCTAATAAAATATTTGCTTGACAGTTGAAAAGCAATCGCGAAGAAATACCTAAGAGATTCTGTCTTTAGAGGATGGAATGAGTTTTGGCACATCAAAATATGTATACTACTAGCAATATTTATGCCATAAATAGATTTTAGATAAAGAATTTAATCTGAAAGAGGAGTAAATTAACTTTAAGATTAACTTAGGTATGTACTGTAAAATGTTTTTGTTTGAATATATATTAATCATTTGTGAATAAGATCTAGTTTAGTGGATATATTGTCTGTTTATGAATCAGTTGGTAATTTTGTCAACTGTGATCTAAAGAAGAGTTTGCTTTACCAAGTTGGTGTAACAGAGTTTTTCTGTGTAAAAGCTGTTTTCTGTCATACCTTTGTTTTTTATTTTTCTGCTGTACACAGTTAAAGTGAGCAGACACGCTGTGTGTTTTGCATTACCCAACATGAAAAAGAATAATAGCTCTACTTCTTTGTTTGCAGGCTGGCTTCACTTTGGGGAATGTAGTGGGAATGTATCTTGCTCAAAATTATGAAGTAAGTTCTGCTTATTTCATTAAAAATGACATTTCTTGACTTTATTCCCTGTCCCACGTTTGTCAAACTGAAGGCCAGAGGCTTTTTATGTGGCTCTTTGTTTAATTATAAGAATTTGCTCATATTTTTTAACAGCTTAAGGGGTTTTATAAATACATTCTGCCACATGCAGCCCTTTCAAAAGCATTTATGATCTCGATTTGGCCCAAAACCAAAATGAGTTCGAAACCCTGGCCTATCCCATTAACTACAGGACAGAATTGGAAATGTGACAAATGCTGTTTCTCTTTCCTGCTAATTGCTATTTCCATTTAAAAGTTCTGTTGCCAGTGTTAACCTATATTCTCAGGTACCCAACATAGCCAAGAAAATTGAAGCTTTTAAGAAGGACGTGGAGGCCAAGAAGAAGCCCCCAGAGTGAGCAAAGCTGGACTGTGCTTCAAAGAAGAGGAGACGTCTTCTGCAGAGATTATTTATCCACAGGGTTTTGTTGGCTCAGGGGTATCGGGGGTGTGCATTCGCTACAGGATTATTTGACATGAGTAAAAGCATAAGCAGTTCCAGGAGCAGTATTTATTTCCCTTCTCTGTAATAAATCCTTGTTTCCATTGGAGTTTCCCCTCCTTGGGTGCATTGCCTAGAAACTTGATTTAACGAATAATGCAGCTAACTGATGGGATCACTTTAAAGTCTGATTGGACTGGTCGCCTGTTCTTTTTTTGTATAATGATAATGTTTAAAGTGCATTGAGATGTACAGAAACAAAGCATAATTAATCTACCTTCTGAATTTTTAGTAACAACTGCCAAACGTTTTGCTACACCTTCACAAACATTGTTCTCAAGCCTACAATAAAGTTACAGAAAATGACATTAAAGCATTCTATCATTCCTTTGAGCATCAACTCTTACACTAAAAATGTTCTTTCAACAGATGGCGCGGTTTATGTAATGTTTGGCAGATCTTATCTGTTTTTTCTTTTTTTTGTTCCCTTTTTCTTTTGGGAATTTGGCCACCCAAACCCTCTGTACTCCAGACATTGTGGTGCATTGTGGGATATGTAGTAGAGGATGTCCACCTCTTGTTGCATTTGGAAGAAGATGATTTCTTTTTGTAGAGTTTTTGGACTCCTGGTCTTCTTGGCAGACTCGGAGTTGTGGGATCTCGGCTTCTTGGACTTGTTCGGCTTACACAAAGAAAAGAAAATGTAACTTTTCTTAATATGATATGATATGAATATGGTAAGCTTTTTAAAATAACTGAATACTTTACCACAGCAGAATATATTTTACATTTCTGGAAGAGACATGACAGATGAATAAGAAAATAAGTTAAAAGTAGAAAAACCCCCCAAAAAATCTTACCAGGGATTGTCTTGGCACGGTTCTGCATGGCGCCCTGGTGAGACGCGAACACTGAATGAAGCAACAGGCCTTTCTCACAGACCTCTACATTTCTGCACTGAATCTAAGAGAGCAAACCTTCCAACCCAACTTGCAGCACCATTAACCTCGTTACAACATCTTCATAATAGAAAAATGCGGCAACTGAAGTGAAAATTTGGCATTTTAAGACAAAGAATATACTGAAACCAGGTGTTACTTTCAGTTTTATTTGCAGGGCACTGTGAAGTGAAAGATGACGGCTTTCTTTGGCAGCGGAGATCACGTCCTGTCTCTGTAGCCCTTCCGTTCACATTGTTACAGTGTAGTTTTGACATCATTTCAACAGAAAAATACATTCAACATATTGGAAAATATCTGAACACCATGCAACTCTTGGACCTCAGTCAATCATGCATTTCAAATAAATACACATTTGCGTGCAGTCACTTCAGAATTAGAAAAAAAAAAATCCAATATGGACCCGAGAAAAAGCTCAAGTTGTGACGCACACAACCCCATCGCCACCTACAATGACCACTCAAAAAAAAAAAACTGTCATTGGAGTGACGTGACATCATTTTTAGTGCATGTGCAGCAATAGTTTTGTACACAAAACGAGATATCAAAAATAAAACTTCGTCATCTGCATAGAGCTGGAGATTCAATTACAGTTAACAGCGGAGCTCCGCATGTTTTAGCCCTTCAGGGTAAACGGATCATGAGGAGCTCAGCCGGGGCCTTACTGGGTGGTTATGAGGTGGACGATCATGCGGATGATGCGGGAACCTCGGGGGCAGCTGCACAGGTCCATGCTCGGGTTCCTGATTTTGTCTTCCAGCAGCTGGTCCAGCTCCCAGCGCAGCTCCTTCACCAGCTCAGCCACCTGGAAAACACCCACACAGGTTGGTTGGTTGGTTGGTAGTCTCAACCCAACAAAAGAAGAATTTGGGATCAAGTTATTTAGTTTGTCTGACCTGATGCGACGCTGCTGCGAACCGAATCCAGCCGTCATCCAGAGAGATGAGGAACTCCCCTTTGTGGAGCTCCACGTTGACCTGACCGCCTCCGAACAGCACCAGCGGGTAGACGGACACCATGCTGCAGTCTCTGATGAAGACGCGGCTCGTCTTCACCTTCTCGTGGTAAACCAAATAGGGGCTGTCGTAGTGGCGCACCTGAGTGTCGAAAGAATCACGTTTTTTGGGGGGTTTTTTTGGTCTGAGCTGACCTCGGCGGTTCTGTGCGGCTCACGCTTACCATGTAGTTGACGGACGAGGGATGGATGTGGACGCAGCCGTCGCTCTTGGTCATGAAGCGCAGCTCGTTGGCTTTCGGCTGCATCTTCATGGCTCCCTTGCTGGTCATCTTGTAATTCCCCTGAGGAGCTCGAACCTGGATAGACCAAAAATATTGAGCTTCAGCTCATGAAAGAACCTTTTTAAACTATTGGGAGCAGGAAACATTGAAGGACAATCACCTGGACCACGTTTGGATAGAGAGCTGCGCACAGCATTGCAGACATCAGGCGGATGTTTTCTGAGTTAAGGTTGGCCTGGGAAGCAAAATGTGACTGATTTTAAGAGGCGTTCTTCAAGTTTACAGCAAAAAGATGGATTCAGTGTGACTCATATGACTCGCCTCAGGCCCAGTAGCCTCCAATACACCATCCGCTCCCTGTGAGGTTAAGCGTTCAATAGCCCTGGCCCTCAGTCCCTCCTTAATGAAGCCGATATCTGACAGCAGCTCCGCAAACTGCCTCTTCAGGCTGGCGATCTCCTGGACAGGCAGCAACGTTGAAGATGTTTAAAGAATTAATTCACAACACAATCCCAAACTTTTGTCTAAGAAGTTTGTGATTTCTGACCTGTAAACTGCGCCAGGACAAGAAGTTCTCCCTACAGAAGCGGAAGCTGGCCTGGTTGCCGCTCTTTGCAGCGCAGCACCAACCCTGCCAAGGAGGGAGAGGATCCATTACATAATTTGTAACGAAATATATTCCCAGACATTTCTATCATATTTTCTTGCTGAATCATAAATTAGTGGATTGCTTTTTTCCACGGAAGCAGCAGATTTATGACGCAGCTGGTGGGAAAGGTAATTAGACTGTGTAACGCCATTCATACCATGTAGAATAAAAATAACACTCAGTACCTTGTATGCCTGTAACAAAGCCAGATGGTCACTGTTGGCCAATGCAAAGTCACATTTCTTCTCACTGGCTTCCTCTCTCTTATCCCATGGAGACACCTGGAAACAACCCAAATGCACAAATGCTTCAGGAATCAGGATGTTGGATTGTTGTTGTTTTTTTCATATTAGAGATTAGCACCACGTAGATGTGATTCACATTGCAAAGAAAATCCAAGGCCTGCTTACAAACGGTGATTTAAAGGCCAGACTGGCTGCAATGGTGAGCGCCGGATCGAGGCAGCGGAAGATGGCGCCGAACAGCATGAGTTTCCCGATGCGCACGTCGACGGGCAGGCAGGCCAGGTGGTAGCCCCAGCGGGGTCAGCTTCTCATCCGGGGTCAGAGCTCCCAGGTCCTGGAGGCGCTGCCTGGCATCTTGGCTCCCCACGTCCGGCGGTTCGATGAGCCGAGAGAAGACGGACTCCAGCTGCTGCTCGGCGAACAAGTCCAGGATCTTAATTCTGTCACGGAAAGAGTAGGAGAGTAGGAGAGTTTAAAAACTCTGCTTTAACAAACGAGCAAAGCCAGGAAGCAGACGGACGGACCGCAGGCAGAGCTGCTCCAGGGGAACTCTCTGGATCTCGGGCAGCTGCTGCTCGGCCAGCTGATGGCGGAAGCAGGGCTGGTGAAGAGGTGGAAGCAAACCCCCGAGGCCACTCGGCCCGCTCGACCTTTCCTCTGCAGCGCGTTGGCCCGGGACACCCACGAGTCCTCCAGGCTCTCCATGCTCTTGGAAGCATCGTACCTGAGAACAGGCAGCGCAACACGGACTCGTCTCAAAACCGTTTTTTAAAAAAGGGATTAATCTGTTTAATCTAATCTAATCCTACCTCTTTTCCTTCATCTTTCCAGAGTCGATGACATAAACCACGTCGTCGATGGTTACCGAGGTCTCCGCGATGTTGGTGGAGATGATGATCTTGGTGACGCCTTTGGGGGGGCGGCTGAAGACCGCCTGCTGCTCCTCGTTGGACAGGGTGGAGTGGAGGGGGTAGACCACACATCTGGTGTGTGTGTGTGTGTGTGTCAAACAGAAAGTGAACATCGTGGATCTTTTACAAATCGAAAATCATGTAATACACAGCATGTGCAAAAAGCCTTAGAATAAGTGAATCTTTTGTTGCTGGAGCGATTATCTTAAAGTGAGTACTACTCTAAATTCTTAACTTAAAAAAAGAGAATGAGTTGTAAGTACATTTTTAAGTTTATTTTAAAGGATTCTTGCCTTTTTTCTTGAAGACAATTTTGCCTACCGACTGAAACGTCCAAAAGTTATTATTTGCTGCACAAACAGCCGGATTTAATGTCGGTGAATGTTCTGCTCTGTAAAGCTCATTTTTTTAAAAACATAATTGCATTTCTTTTTCTTTTTTTTTTTTAAATTATTGCAATTAAGGTCCCAAACCTGGTGGTGCGTCTGTTGTTGAATATCCTGTTGGATTGCAGCTGCTCATAAAGCATTTTAATCTCAGCAAGGCCTGGCATAAACACCAACACAGCACCTGCAATCAAACCAATAAAAGTAGTTTAGAAATATTAATATCACCTTTTTACGGAGAGCAGCACAAAATACCAACTCTGACCTGGTGGGTAGTTGTGTTGTCCGTCTACTATCCACTCCAGCAGGCTCTCCACCAAGTCCATGTTGATCTTGTCCAGGTCCATGGCAGCAATAGTTTTAAGGACAGATTTGTTTGTGTCTATAAGATTGAAGTGGATCATTAAAACCCCGACAGAACCTTGAAGCGGAATAATTTCTTCGAAACTCACCTTGTATCTGATGGTGAGCTCCTGCAGGCTGAGCTGCTGGTCTGGGGTCGAGTCTTTGACAAAATCTTTCTTGCAGAAAGACATGAAGTTCCACACGTCGTCGCCCAAGTCGTCCACCGCGTCCCTCGTGCCTCTTCGGCCGCTCGCGGAAGACGAGTTCTGTTTCCCTGAGCGCATGTAAGGGCTGCCGTCTTCCATGACGTAGCTGGAAACGTACATGAAACAAAGGATTGGGGGGCAAGGTCAGATGGAACAATGCATGGACAGACAGGACAAACAAACATATAAAGGACAGACAGAAATGAAAAAACAGCAACGACAGAAAACAGGAAAAAAAAAAGTGCAAGACAGACAGAAAGTAAAAAGAAATGATGAATGAAAGAGAGAAGAAAAACAGAATAAAAGAGAAAGTAAAAGTCAGACAATGAAAAGAAAACAGACAAGGAAACAAAGGAGCAAAGACAGAAACCAAGAAAGGAAGACAAAATGGAATAAAGAGTAAAAAGTAAAACTTCAAACATTTCA